GTTCTGCATGCGTTCTGGGTGCTTGAGGACCCCCAGTGCTGTTTCATAGCTGTCAAGTACGAGGTTTACTTATTTTTTTAATTCATTCACAAAAAGTTGCTAAAGCCCATAAAGTCTTACCAGCCCACCACGTCTTGAACAATTTCAGCACTCATTTCTTCCCCCTTTTAAGGGGGAGGCTGATTAACCAACCCTCCAGTACTATTCCTGTTTAGATGGCAGTCCTTGAAAACTTTGCCACAGCCACTTCTGGGAAGTGTGTTCTGGAAGGAGGTGCCTGAGTCTGGTCTTTAAGGATGTCATTTCTCAGGGAGCTGCCCAGTTTGGGCTATCCTGTCCCTCCTTAATAAATGCCATGCCCTTCAGATGCAGTGTCAGTTCCTCTGGTCCTCCACAATAGGACATCTACTAACCATGACTTTCCCAGTTATGGGCATGAGTTTGCACTGAGCCATCCACATGTCCTTGGAAACTTCAATGCAAATTTTCAAGGCAGGACCCAGGGTGCAGTCCTAGCCTGCCTCAGAGCACAAGGGATGCTAAACACATTCACCAGAAATACCCTCTTGCCCGCAAAACCTAACCCCTGATGCTAGTCCAAACAGGCTCCCTCTCCAAGGATACAGAGCCTTGGACTCTGATCATGCCAAGATCTAGAGTCCATCCAGCTTATGCTGTTAATAGCTGGGGCCGTGCTACCAGACCATAGCTTATTAACAATGTATAGCTGCAGCCCCTGACTTAGTTCAGCTATAAACATTCCTCACCTGCATGATTAGCTTCTTTCTTACTGATTAGAAAGCGTCATCCTGCCACAAAACCTACCCTTTCTGAATGAATGGCTCTTTTACAGGCAGCCAAGTTCTCTAAAACACATCTCAAACCCAAATAAAAAAGAATCTACAACAAAAACAAAATTCCACTATTTTCTTTATGGAATGAGAAAAAAAAAGAGCTTCAGAAGGTTTTTAAAAGTTCAGCTCCATGCTTACTGAAAGGACTAAAAGTAGTTGTGACTACAACTGGGGACTTTGAGAGATAAGGTTGGAGAATAATTCAGTGGCCAGTAGGAGATATTAATAAGTATATATTTTTTTACCTTGAGGGATCTGGTGTAACCACTAAGGAGTTTTAAGCAAGTAAGTAGTATTGGGTTTTGACTTTACAGATATCACCCTGGAAGATGGATAATGGATTGGAAGGCAGATGGCAGGAAGACTAGTCAGTGGTCAAGGAGAATGACGGTAGTGGCTTCAACTAGGGTGGTAGTAATACAGATGGAGGGAGGTGGACAGATTCAGGAAATACTTAAAAACACAATGGCCAGGTGCAGTGTCTCATGCCCATAATCCCATTCCTTTGGGAGGCCAAGACAGGATTGCTTGAGCCCAGCAGTTCCAGACCAGCCCAGGCAACATAGCAAGACCCCATCTTTAAAAAAAAAAAAAAATCTAAAAATTAGTCAGGCATGGTAGTACCCACCTATAGTCTCAGCTACTTGGGAAGCTGAGGCAGAATGATTGCTTGAGTCCAGAAGTTCGAGGTTGAACTGAGCTACGATTGTAGGCTATTGCATTCCAGCCTGGGCAACAGAAATGAGACCCTGTCTTTAAAAAATTGTAAATACGTAAATAAAAGCGTGATTGCTCCCTCACCTCCTTTAGGTCTCTGCTTTAATTTTACCTTCTAAATGATTCTTTTCTTGACCACCTATTTAAAACAGCAGCCCTGGCTGGGCGTGGTGGCTCACGCCTGTAATCCTGGCACTTTGGGAGGCTGAGGCAGGTGAATCACCTGAGGTCAGGGGTTTGCGACCAGCCTGGCCAACATGGCAGAACCCCACCTCTACTAAAAATACAAATATTATCTGGGTTTATTGGCACATGCCTGCAATCCCAGCTACTCAGGAGGCTGAGGTGGGAGAATCACTTGAGCCCAGGAGGTGGAAGTTGCAGTGAGCTGAGATTGCACCACTGCACTCCAGCCTGGGTGACAGAGCGAGACTCCATCTCAAAAAATTAAATAAATAAATAAATACATAAATACATAAATAAATAAAACAGCAGCCCCTTCCCCACACCATATACTTTCTCTGCTTGATTTTTCTCCGTGGTTTTTATTGCCATCTGACATTCTGTACAACTCAATCATTAATTTGATTATTGTTTGTCTTCCCCAACTAAAGTATACACTCTTTGAGGGCAGAGGCTTTTATGTCTTTTGTTCTCTGTGGCTCCAATACTTAGAACAATCCCTGGCACACAATAGATGGTCAATAAATATTTTTAGAATGAATGAATAGGTGAAAGATGACAGAATTGACAGGACATGATAATTGGTTGAATGGGAAGGGGTAAGAGGAAGTGGTAAAGGAGCAAAGGTAGGTTTCCCGGTTTCTAGCTAGGTTAACTGAGGGGATGGCCTGCTATTCAGTGAGATAAGGAACACCAGGCAGGATGGGGAGAAGCAGGTTTGGAGGTAAAGGGTTGGAGGTGAAGGAGGTGATAATAAACTTGAGGCACTTGCGGGCCGTGTACAGAAAGATGTAGAGACAACAGGACTTTGGGCTGAAAGAATAGATTGTGCAGCCTTTGGAGTCCTTATACATTAAAAAAAAAATTGTTGTGAACCCACTTGGTTCCAGACCCTACACCAAGCATGTTGGATACACAGATGAGTAAACAGGTTGTTACCAGAAAGGGGTCCTGATCCAGGCCCCAAGAGAGGGTTTTTGGATCTCACACAAGAAAGAATTCAGGGAGAGTCCATAAAGTAAAGTGAAAGCAAGTTTATTAAGAAAGTAAAGGAATAAAAGAATGGCTACTCCATAGGCACAGCAGCCCTGAGGGCTGCTAGTTGACCATTTTTTTGGTTATTTCTTGATTATACGCTAAACAAGGAGTAGACTATTCATGAATTTTCTTGGAAAAGGTGGGCAATTCTGGGAACTGAGGGTTCCTCCCTTTTTTATACCATATAGGGTAATTTCCTGGTGTTGCCATGGCATTTGTAAACTGTCATGGCACTGATAGGAGTGTAGCAGTGAGGATGGCCTGAGGTCACTCACATGGCCATCTTGGTTTTGGTTGGTTTTAGCCAGCTTCTTTACTGCAACCTAGTTTTTATTGTTGTTGTTGTTGTTGTTTGATACTGAGTCTCGCTCTGTCACCAGGCTGAAGTGCAGTGGTATGATCTCTGCTCACTGCAACCTCTGCCTCCCGGGTTCAAGTGATTCTCCTGCCTCATCCTCCAGAGTATCTGAGACTACAGGCACATGCCACCAGGCCCAGCTAATTTTTGTATTTTTAGTAGAGACGGGGTTTCACCATGTTGGCCAGGATGGTCTCAATCTCCTGGCCTCGTGATCCACCCACCTCGGCCTCCCAAAGTGCAGGGATTATAGGCATGACCCACCACACCCAGCCTACTGCAACCTCTTTTATCAGCAAGTTCTTTATGACTTGTATCATGTGCTGACCTCCTATCTCATCCTGTGACTTAGAATGCCTTAACCGTCTGGGAATGCAGCCCCCTAGGTCTCAGCCTCATTTTACCCAGCTCATATTCAAGATGAAGTTGCTCTGGCAAAGGCCTCTGACAAGGTCATGCAAATGGATGACATTACATATAAAGTCACAGTTACCACACAGTTGATAACAGCCAGTGTTACTGAGGAGGCAGTAAGTAAGCACTCTCATAGACTTTGGAAGCAACTAGAAAAGGGTGGAATCTTTCTGGAATACAATTTGACAGTGTGTATCAAAAAGTTTAGAAATTTACATATCCGTGACTCAGCAATTTTCCTTCTAGATATATATATTTGCTAGTCATAAGCACAAGATTTGCTATTCGCCAAGAGGACAAGGGAGGGTATGACCAGCTAGTGTACTAAGCAGACACCTAGGAGCCCCATTCAATGATGCACCAGCAGGACACCCTAAGAGAGGTTATATGGGCCCCATCTAGATGCAGCTGCAGAAATGTAAGGGTCTATCTCTGGTCCCTTGCTCATGTCTAAGGCAGACTCTCACAGAAGGGCAACTGGCTCCCTGTTCTCATTATTTGTCTCTGCAAAACAAACTCATCCAAGACTTAGTAGCTTAAAACAGTTATTGTGTCTCATGATACTATGGGTCAGGAATTTGAGGGGTGATCAGCTGGGTGATTCTTCTGTTCCATGTGGCACCAACTAGAGTCACCTGATGGTACTAAGCTGATACCTGGGCCAGTTTGGAACATCCAAGATGGCTTCATTCACAAGCCTGACACCTTGGTGGGAACAGCTCTCAGGCTGTAGTCTCAGAGCCTATCCATGTGATCTCTTCAGCAGGGTAGTTGAACTTCTTAAACAGTGACTCAGGGCTCTAAAAAAAAACCAAAACAGATGTGACCAGTCCTTTTAAATGCTAGTCCTAAAATGAGCATAGCATCACTTTGACCATACTCTGAAGGTCAAAATGTAATAGGCCAGTCATAGATCCAACCTCTCAACATGAGGAATATCAATGAATTTGCAGCCATCTGTAATCTGCCACACTGTCTGGTTCAGGATTTTCAAGGGGGCAAGGTCTGACGCATACATCCAAGTTGTTCTCCTTCTGCTCCTCTTACTGTGTGGGCCAATTTCTCTCTAGAAGTGTCTTGCAAAGTCAAAATCTCTCCACTTCCTTCTTCATAGGAAATGAGGCTTATTATAGCAAACAAAAAGGATCCCTTATGCTATCACTCTAATACCAAGGCTGTCTGGCTCCAGTGAGATGCTAAGCTGGCTCTCCCGAGAAGGCCATTTGCTGTGAAAGAGATGTAATCAGCCTGGAAACATGACTCATCCAAGGGTGTGGAGTTTCTACTGATCAGTTATCACACTGGTCACCGGCAATAACTGGCCATTCTGAAGGCAGCTGCTGCTAAGCCAGACGTGCAGACCTTGGTTATAATTCAGAATATTCTTGTGAAAGTCATTGAGACTTCCTTATTTCCCAATAGTGAAGAGATACAGCTCTTGGCAGTGTTACAGACAGTTTAAAATCTCTTAGAGCATCACGCAGTACACAAAAAGTGCCTGAGGGGTGGCCAAAAGTGAGAAGATAGCTACAAATTGGTGAGGCACCATCAAGGCAAGGAGAAGAGCGACTAGTGGCACTGGGAAACCTTGCTGAGAAAGCTGATCGGAGAGAAGGTCCCAAGAGGCTGGAAGATCCTCTCATCTCAGGCTGACATTAGGACTCCCCTTGGATTATCTTTATGTCAGGAGGGCCTCAGGAAGGTTTCTCTGAATGTGGATACCTTTCTGCCTTGCAAGGCTGGCAGGTGGTTACAAAGGGCACAGGCTTTCCAAGTGCTCAAAGAGAGGACAGGTGGCTCATGCCTGTAATCCCAGCACTTTGGGAGGCCGAGGCGGGCAGATCACGAGGTCAGGAGATCGAGATCATCCTGGCTACCACAGTGAAACCCCATCTCTACTAAAACTACAGAAAAATTAGCCGGGCGTGGTGGCGGTCACCTGTAGTCCCAGCTACGCGGAAGGCTGAGACAGGAGAATGGCGTGAACCCGGGAGGCAGAGCTTGCAGTGAACCGAGATCGCGCCACTGCACGCTAGCCTGGGTGACAGGGCGAGACTCTGTTTCAATTAAAAAAAAAGAGGGAAAGGACAGAAACTTCTGGAAAAGCATTTGGTGCAGCTGTTAAAAAAAAAAAAAAAATTCACCAAAAGGACAGTCTTCCCATCCCCTTAATTCCATTGCTAAGCCTCTGTTAAAAGAAAAACTTCAGCCAAATTAAATTTAAAGGAGTTTAATTGAGCAATGAATGATTCACGAATTGTGCAGCCTTCAGAATCACAGCAGATTCAGAGAGACTACAGTGATGCCTGGTGGTCAGAACAAATTTATAGACAAAGAAAGGGAAGTGACATACAGAAATCGGAAGTAAGGCATAAAAACAGCTGGGTTGGTTACAGCTGGGCATTTGCCTTTTTTGAACACATTTTGAACACTCAGCAGTATATGAGTGGTTGAAGTATGGCTGCTGGGACTGGCCAAGACTCAGCTATTGTTACAGGTGCATACTTCTAAATTCGGTTTTTAATCTTGTCTACCTATCCAGTTAGGTTACAGTTCATCCACAAGGACTCAAATATAGAAGTATGGAGTCCTTCTCAGACCATGTTTAGTTTGCTTTAATACCTCATAACTGTTCATTGCAGCTCTAGGTCAGGTTGAGAGGTTGGAAACTTCCAGAATGGTGAAGTAATAACCTTCCCAAAATCCACTCTTAAGAATACATGGCCAAAATAATAATAATAATAATAATAATAATCAACTTTTTAAAAACTCTGCAATTAACCAAAGGCTTGCAAAAAATCCAAGGAACATTTATGCAAGAAAAACTGCTGAATCTTGGTAAGAATAGCAAAATGTTGTAACATGATAACTTGCACTATTCCTGTACTCCTCACTCCCACTCTGCAGAAACCTTGAAAACAGCAGCTCTGCAATTATGGAAGCTATGAATATGAGCAGCCTTACTGCCACCGGAGGTATAACCTGGGTTTAGAGCTCCCCCAAAAGCACATCTCCTTAGATTTGTCACTATTTTACCTGTCTTTCAGCTCCCTGGAAAAGCTCCATTCACAGGATGTTATTGCCATTATTTGATCTGATTCACAACTCATTGCTTGGGATCTGGGGAGTAGAACTTATCCCTAGGGTGTTTGTCAAAAACAACCAATAGCAATGATTTAACATGTGGCTGCCTGAGGCTGCAATACCAGTTGGGGCAAATGGGAGCCTGGCAAAACATTTAAAAGGAAGATCTTGGGAAGGGGATATTCACAGGGGGCTTTGAAAAGCTCCAACAATCACAGGGGATCTGGAAGGCCATACACATGGCAGAGCTGTGTGTGCTCAGGAAAGACCTAAGTGGAACCTAACTTCTCACCTCTGGCTGACCTTGCAAGCAGGAAGTCATACCAGAGCATTGAAAGTGTGCCCCAGCACATAGCTAACAGTACCCCTTGGCTAAGGCTAGAGACTTATTAGTTCAAAGAACTTAAGAAAACCTCTGTTCAATTATTAGCTGACCACTAAGTTAACTGAGTAGGACTTCAATCATAATAGGAAATACTTATTTACAGAATTTGTCCAGGAAAGTTACTAAACAAACAGTAAAAACAACAAAACAGCAACAACAAACCCTGGATACAGAGGGTACAGGTTCAGCATCCATAATATAAAAATCTGAAATTTGAAATGTTCCAAAATTTGAAAGTTGAGCACTGACATGATGCCATGAGTGGAAAATTCCACAGCTGACCTCATATGACAGGTCTCAGTCAGAACTTTGTTTCATGCACGAAATTATTAAAAGTATTATAAACAATTACTTTCAGGCTCTGTGCATAAAGTATGTAGGGGAGCAAACATAATTTCTTTTCCTTTCTTTTTTAAGTTCTTAATTGAGACACCCTCCTGAAAACAAAAGTAAGATTAACAGAAGAAAACCAAGTAGAAGTTTAATAATGCATGCTGTACCCATTGCAGGGAAAGCCCTCAGTTCAAAAGTATTTCCCTCTCAAGGCAGTGGTACTGGGGCCTTGCTTAAATAGTATTGTTAACAAGAGAGGGGTCCTGATCCAGACCCCAAGAGAGGATTCTTGGATCTTGGGCAAGAGAAAGTTCAGGGCGAGTCCACAGTACAAAGCAAAAGCAAGTTTATTAAGAAAGTAGAGGAATAAAAGAATGGCTACTCCATAGACAACGCAGCCACAAGGACTGCTAGTTACCCATTTTTATGGTTATTTATTGATGATATGCTAAACAAGGGGTAGATTATTCATGCCTCCCCTTTTTAGACCATATAGGGGAACTTCCTGTTGTTGCCATGGCATTTGTAAACTGTTATGACACTGGTGGGAGTGTAGCAGTGAAGACAACCAGAAGTCACTCTTCATGGCCATCTTGGTTTTGGTGGATTTTAGCTAGCTTCCTTACTGCAAACTGTTTTATCAACAAGGTCTTTATGACCTGTATCTTGTGCTGACCCCCTGTTTCATCCCATGACTTAGAATGCCTTAACCATTGGAAATGCATCCCAGTAGGTCTCAGCCTCATTTTACCCAGCCCCTATTCAAGATTGATTTGGTCTGTTTCAAATGCCTCTGACATTTCCCCCCACCCCTTCTTTTAAAAGACAACCCTAATTTCAAGGTTTGCAGAGGAATGAAGATCTATCTTCTGTAACTTCTTCAGGCAGAATAGGGGCAATGATGTTCATGCCTAACTATTAGAGTCTCTTGTATTTGGGGTAGAGAACAGCTCAGTCAGAAAGCATTGGTATGATGAGGGCCATTCATAACATTTGAGTTCCAACAAAAGGTGATATCTGGAATATTAATAAGTGTTCAATTTAAGAAAACATTGAGTAACCTCATCCTCATTCCTACATAAAGAGTACAACAGCAATATATTACACAAGAGTAAGGCAAAATAAGTAAAATTATCCCAAGTAAACTAAATTAGAAGGCTTTCCATGAACTGGGCAGCTGTTGGAACCAAGCTGATATGGGGTTGCTAGATGATTTCAATATGTGCCTAGAATTAGAATATTGATCCAGATTTTTACATTACCCATGCCTCTTGTTTCTTCTGAGCAGCAGCCAGAGATCATTGGTTGGTTCACAGGAATAAGCAGGATCAGTCTTAATTGCAGGAAATAAACTGATAAACAACTAATGAGACTAGAATTTAATAACAAGTGTACCATAGTTCTTGAAACATAATTTTTCTCTCTCCAGTTTCCCATTTTTATTAAGATAAATCATGGTAAGACTGATTTGTTTTATTTTACTTGGCCTGATTATTTGTATAAAGTGCAGCAAGAATAATTATTTTTCACATAAGCTGTCTTTAAATTGCCATTGATGGAACTCTGTTCCATAAAAGGAATCTTAGATAAGACTTTTTTAGAGCTGAGCCCTGCCATGGGGTTGTACCCTCAAATACCTGTAAGTTGAATAAATTCCTCTCCTCTTGAGGTTTCAAGATAACTTAGCTCTCCAGGCCTGATAGAAAGTGACATTCTTTACTTACGACATGTCAGGAACCCTGTACAGGGACTGTGTAGACAAGTTATGAAGCCAGTTTTCCCAAGGGACTTTTATTGGCCCTGTAAGTCAAATTTAATTCCTTAAAGGAAAACACACCATTCCAGTCAAAGCCTTGGTAAAATAACTAGTTTTTCCAATTGTGTCCTGTTACAAAAGAAAACAGATTCTTATTGCAAATAACTTATGCAAATAACTATATTGCCATAAATTAAGATTATTCACATGTAGTTTCCAAATTCTGGAGAAACAAGGTAGAGAGAAACAAATATGCTCCAAATTGGGTTCATAGGAGTATACTTTACCTAATTGATAAAAGCCATAAATAGCTTAAAATTTGTTTTCTTGACTTTGAAAAACAAAACAAGGCATCAGCAACGTTTTAAGCAAAAAGTTAAAAAGATTACTTTAGACTTCTTTTAGTTTACTCCATGCAGTTAATTTCTCTTCTGTTTGATATTCATGAACATTTCAGTTCTCCATGAGAGTTCTGAAAGTTGTTTCTTCTATTCTAATGTCACAATTTCCAAAGTTATCAGAAACCTGCATTTAAGAACACCTGTTAGAGTTCTATAGCTGACTATAAACCACCTTTTGAAGAGGATTAAAACAAGACAACAATTGTTTGTGGATGACAAAGTGTTTTAGGACAACAACAGCCAAAAACATGATTGAAAAAGAAGTTTGGTTACCTCTGTGGCATACAATGATTTTATGTAACAATTATAATTATTAATAACCTACAATAAGTTTTATTATATTTGTCAGTGCTTCTTGTATGATTTTACTATACCAAACAAGGCAAATTTTACCTTTGCATTAGTGTACTGTTAAACCCAATTCTTAATAAAACCTTATACATAAATCTGTCCAATCTTAATCCATTTGACCATAAGATAAGATTTTCATAAATCTTGTATAACCCTTTACAAATTTTTATTAAGAGCAGATTATAAGCAGGTTTTTGCTTTAAGAAAAACTTGTTGTTCTTTCATTCCACTGTTCAATTTATGGAAAAACTGAATGATACCCCTTTAACTTCAGCCAATATGTTCACACACAGAATCTCTTTTACAACTAATTTTTCACAAACCTTCCACAACTTGCTTAAATCTTCAGCTTTACTTTATCTAACTTAAAACAATCCGTTAACACTTTAGGCATAAAAAATCCACATTCCTATGACTTCTTATAATCTTTTACCAAAAACACATTTCACTTTCTTTACACACCTTGCACATAAAACTGTTTTTTAGTCTCAAATACATGTTACACTGTTAACTCTTAGCAACTCTTACTTCTGGTGAAAAGCCTGGTTAGTAAGCCATTTTAATTATGTACTAGTGTGGAACCTAGGACCCAGACAGAAGTGCAGATAAGTCCTTACTCTTTTCAACATCTAACTTCACATGTCCCAAGCTTTACCTAGCTGTAAAGCAGGCAAGTTGTACAGTTAAGCATCACAGTAGTATTCTATGAAGCATTTAGGAGGCCTAATCACCTTTAAATTTTACATTTCTTGCATAAATTTCCTGTTATGGGAATTTCGTGACCTACACAGACTATCTACGACATACTTTGA